TCCTCCTCCTCCTCCTCCTCCTCCTCCTCCTCCTCCTCCTCCTCCTCCTCCTCCTCCTCCGCTTCCCTCCCCGTTATTTCCCGCCCATCCCCCCTCGGGTCCCCCCTGCCCTCTCCACACCAGCTCTGCGCTCCCGCCCACGACGCGCCGCCTCCCCTCCCCTCCCCTCCGCGCAAATCGCCCAGGAACAAAAAAGAGCCAGGAGGGCGCCGTCCTACGAGCAGCCTGGAGCCCAGCCCCGCCTCCACGTCGGCCGCGTGCACCTGAGAGGACGGGTGCTGTTCGGCGGGGCGGAGGGGAACCATCTGGACACAACAACGCGGGAGCGGATCGGCGGCGCGCCCCGGGGGGGGAAACTGGGAGGGGCCGGGGGCCTTCCCTGAAGGGCTCGGACGTCCCCCAGCCTTCCGCCAAGTTTTCTCTACGCCTCCTCCGAAGACGCATCAAAAAGCCTCTCAGAAGGCCTGAGGCCGAGAAGCATTCTCCGCATTCTGAGGAGGCCCTCTCCTCCTCCTCCTCCTCCTCCTCCTCCTCCTCCTCCTCCTCCTCCTCCTCCTCCTCCTCCTCCTCCTCCTCCTCCTCCTCCTCCCCCCTTCTCATTTCCTCCTCGCTCGCCGCCGAGTCAAGCGGCGCGTGAGGCGTGAGGGAGCGGTGGGCGGTCGACCCAGACGTGGCGTGTCCCAGGCTCTGCCACGAGGGAGCAGCGAGGAGGCACGAGGGGGCAGGCTCGGGAGGGAGGTCTCTTGAAGCCGTTCCCGGGGTCTTCTCTCGGCTGTGGACAAGCCTCCCTTTAGCAGACCACCCTTTGGCGAAAACGGCCCAAGACCGAAACCGGCGGACCTGGACGCGCAAAAATGACGGCCGCGACGCCCTCTCGCGAACCGAAAACGGCCAATTCGCTAATCGACGTGTCAGGGTAGGATGTCTATCAACCTCCGGTTCTCTGGCCCATCATCAGTGGGGTTGGAGGGCGTCGAGCGATCGAGCGACGACGACCACCGAGTGCGAGCTCCGGAAGACAGCTGCGCCAAAGAGCAAAGCCCGCGACCATCGGGAGAGGCGGATTCCGAACTGGTCGATCAACCTTTGGGCGTGCAGCCTCAACCTGTAACCAGCGTAGCGCTCTACGGTCGGACTCACTCGTTGTGTGGCGGATGCAGTAACCTAGCCATGAAGTGGCAGCCCATGCCTCCAAAACCAATCGCAAACTCACGTATGGACTCGCGCTTCCGTCGGAGACGACGCGACCTGGTTCGGAATGCCGTCATTCACTTCTGGAAGAGGCACGAGAACCCACACAGCAGATCACTTGTGTGCCATGGTGCATTTCGAGGTCAGATCGATCGTGTCGAGAACATTGGGCTGGTCTGGTGCCCCTGTATGTCCCTGTGTCTGCCAAGACGGAACAATCCATCCCTATGACTCGGGGCGAGCGAGGGGAGGAAGTGAGAAGAGAAGAACTTCTCAGAAGGCTCGGATTTCCCCTGGCCTTCTGAGAAGTTTGTCAAGTTTTCCACGAAGACACAGAAAACTTCTCAGCGGGCGGGACGGCTTCTGAGCAGTCCCATCGCCTTTTAAGAATGCCTTCTCCTCCTCATTTCTCCCCCTCGCTCGCCGCCGAATGGTGTCGTCGACAATAGCGTTCTTTACGTAAACGGCAATTCAGGCGCAGTAGCAGGTCGAGCGCGAGCTGGACTGGGCGCCGCAAGTCTCAAGAGGCGCGCGCACGTGCAAGTGTGCGCAAGGTGCTTTCTGCTAGGGTGGCCAAGGCTCGTACGAAGCCTCCGAAGCACTGACCTCGAGGCGAGCCACGCCTTGTGCTCAGCCAGTGCAATTGGTTCGCGTGTGGTTGCGTTAACTGGTAAAGCCTCTCGTGTCCTCACGCGATACTTGGAGACACCACGGAGGTAGCACCTGCGGCCAGACCGCGACCAGCTGATTCACATGACACCCTAGGTCTCGCTCGGCTCCTCACCCTCCTTCTTCTCCTCCGCCTCCTCTCCCCACCTCCCCAGCTCCATCCTCCCCGCCCTCCATGGTCCTCCTCCTATCCCCCGTGCGTTCTATCGCCGTCCTCCGCATCTCCTGCTCAAAACCCCATCTTCCCCACCGTCGATCCCGCTCGAATGGCACGTCCTGGTCCACCCTGACGCAGAAAGCATCTATACACCACCACCGTGCCAGGCCAGGGCCATCCTGGGCCCTAGGATGGTGTATACGCACTCCTGGCCGAGCCAGGAGGGTCTACACACCATCCTAGGGCCCAGGATGGCCCTGGCCTGACACGGTGGTGGTGTATAGATGCCTTCGTCGGAACCTTGCCCACCATCTCCTCCTTCGGAAACCAACGGTCAGCCTGCGCTCCGCCCGGAGTGGCTGCCCGCCGTCCGGTGGCCTCTCCCCCTCGCGGCCCCCGCAGGGGGGCGCGCCTCCCAGTAGGCCCTGTCCTGCACGATGGGCGCTGTGGCCAGGCATCTCCCGCGGCCGCGAACTCGCAGTCCTGGCGCAGGTGAGGCACAGAGGGGGGTGTCACAGAGGGGAGGGGTACAAATCATGACCGGCGGCATGTGCGCGGCCCCGCGGGGGGGCCAGGAGCGTAATGAAACAAGAAGAGGCGCCATGGAATCTGGGGAAATATCATGGCCCCCGCCATGATACCCCCCTAGTCATCACCCCCCTCGTTGCCGCCCCCGACAAAGAGGAGGGCCGAGGCACGCCCGGGGACCCCGAGGCGACCAGATCGAGCCTGGCCGATCGAGCCGAGCCGACGGAGAAGCTCGGCGCCGTGGTCGAGGCGATGGGGCGACTCGGTGCCTCGAGGGCGGGGAGGTCGTTGAATCGAGGCGGTCCGACGGCGCAAAAGTTAAGGGGACGGGCCTCTGGTACGGCAGGTTCGTGTCGTGTCGACCCCGGCGTTGGTTCCTGACACCTCGGGGATCATTCAACCTTGAACGATCGGCCATTGCAGAAACGTCCAAATCGTTCCACATCGAACGATTCTGGGTCGCCCGCGGCGTTCAAGATTGAATGCCACTGGCAAGGTCGCCGCCAGTCAACACGGCACGAACCTACCGTAGGCAGCTTGGGACGGGAGGCTCGGCGCAGAGCAGGAAGAGGCACGGCGAGGGCGCGCGGCGTTCTGAGGCGCCCCCCCCCCCCCCGTCGCCCCCCGCAGCACGAGGGGGCCTTCTCGGAAGGGGCACTGTGGAGAGGTCCGTCTGCCTTATCGGAGGTGAAGGGCAAGGACGGGGGGGAGCGGTGACGGCGACAACGACGACAACGACGACGACGACGATGACGACGAGGACGACTCAAACAGAAGAGCTTTTCGCGCACGCCGTCGCACAAGGCGTACGTTCGGAACCAACCTGGGCTCGTGTACGTGTACGACCTTGTTTCC